TAACATAACTGAAAAATTATATTTGTGTTGGCCATAAAGAATTTGGATTAGAATGATGGTTAAGTATGTTAGTCTTTGTTATTTTTAGTGAATTGATTTTCTATTTCATATGTCATGAATGAAATTTTGGCAATGTCAGAAGGATGGTAATTCCTTTGACACTGCTATTACTATATACACTTTTGACTCCTTCATTAAATTGCTTATTTACAAGAATAATTTGTATTTACAAGATCATAAAATTTTCTTGTTCACAAATATTTTATAAATTTATGAATAATAAAATTTCTTTTCATATTTATTTCTTTATAAAATGATAAATAATAAATATTTCATTATAGTTCATATCTTTCTATAACCAAGGGAATAACTGTTCTTTTGACACACTGTTTTTTTCTGGGCACAAAGGTTAAACATTGCTGGAATCTTGTATCAAATTTGGCTGAGTAAGTGACTTGTAGTTATAATTCTGAGGTAGAACAGATGTGAGGAAATTTGTCCTGGCTTTCCTGCAGCAAAGGGTTGAGTTTAAAAAATTATGACAAAACATGAGTAAAAAAAAAAACAAGATTAGAGTGGACAAACTCTCTCTTTTAGGTGCGGACGAATAAAGAAAAAAATCTCTTACTCGGCGTGTAACAATAAATGAAGATGGTGTTTATTTACATATACAGAAAAAAAGGGTAAAGGGATAAAGACAATTAGGAGTGTAAGAAAGGGAAAAGAGAAAATGTCCTTTAACGAACAAGAAAATGTTCATAACAGAAAAAAGGCTCTCTCTCTGAGTGCCTAAAAAGTTCTTTAAGCGAGTAGAATTTTGTTAAAGTTTAGAAACATTCACAGTTGTAGAGTAGGAAAATTGCTGGTAGATATAGGAATTTCTGCAGTTGAGTGAGTTTGTAGGTTGATGACAGAAGTCCAGTGGGCACGACAGAATAAGTGGTGAAGGGATGCAGCTTTCAATTGGTTTTTAGTAGTGTGTCGATGGTCTGTCTTCCTGCCCTGGTAGGAATTTCTTTGGTTGAAAGTGGTTCTGAAGTTGACTGGAGTTCCCTATCTTTGACCTTACAGACAGTGGGCTGAATTCTCACTGCCAAATAGGCGTAGATTCTCCAAATTTATGGAGATTTTGGAGGCTCAGTAGGATCAGGGACTTTTCCCTCCCAAATTGTTATACAAATTTCCTGGCCCCTCCATTGGTCAGAAAGCACATTCTTATCTCTAATAAGAATCAAGGCTTTGGGAGCTGGTTTTGCAAGTAATGAAAACAGGTTGGTGTGAACAAGCTGTGAGGTTTCCTCCAGACTTTAAGGCACCATAGAAAGTATAATGGTGGTGAAATTCCTTTTTATATTTTCCGGCTCTCTCATTAGCCAGAAAATATATTCTTATCTCTAATAAGAATCAAGGATTTGGGAGCCGGTTTTGAAAGTAAAAAGAGATGTTGGAGTGAGGATAGAAAAAATAACTAGAATGTGAACTTGTACAATATTGGTCTCAAATTAAATTCAAACACAGAAAGCTGAATGTAAGAAGTACAAAAAACAGTTTTGCTAAGGTCATAAGCTATAAGAAAAAAATTGATCAAAACTTAGTTAAAACAAACACTTCTTTCTTAAAATATGTATTTATGAAGCATCAAGTGGTTTATAAATCAAACATTAAGAAAGTTTGTTTTTTATTAAATCATTTCCTTACAACTTGCTTGCCTCTTTTCCTCTTTGAAAATGATACACTATTAAAAATACAAATTACTTATACAAATTTATTCCTAAAAGGCTTTGGTTGATCTCATAGTATTTTTTGCCATTATACAACTTTACTATTTACCTTTGTTTTAGCTTTTATTATTTAATTTTGGATATTTCTGCATTCAATATTGTTTAAAATATTTCTTTATGCAACAGATCTCCTTAAATGACTTGTGAGAATTAAACCTTGTTTTGATTCAGGGCAGTGGTGTAGTTAGTGTTTTTGCTGCCTGGGGTGGCCCTCAAGTTTGCTGCCCCTCCCCCAGAAGGAATACAATATTACAATGCACATTAACCCTTAAAGTTTATATATATATATATATATATATATATATATATATATATATATATGGTAAATTTGCTTTTCAATCCCCAAGCTAAATATCTATTAATATTTTTCAAAATTGTCATATTTCTGTATAAATGTACATGCTGAACTCGAATTAACAATTCCAAAAACCTACCATTTTGGAGTTATCAACCAGAAAAAAAACAGGATTAATCATGGTCATTTGCCCACCATTACCGGCTTTGTGTAATTAGATTCACTGTGGATCACTCACGTTCATTTCCGTAGCACACTAATAACTTTTTGGCCTATTTTTACTACTTTCACTGCTCTTACTCATGAAAATTACTGTGCACTATCATAAGTTAAAGTCTGCACTTCTTACATACTTAATTCATTTAATCCAACTCCACATGAAGCCCTTTAAAAATGTTCAAATTTTTTTCATGCCTTTTGCTCACGTTTTTTAAGTGGGGGTTTATCCCCATCAGCTGTCAGCACGTTTTGGAGACATTTTCTTTTTTATTGCTGGATGGCTTTGAGCCAAATTGGATTCATTTGAACCCTATCTTTTTTTTTATCATTGCTTTTTTAGCAAAAATTATTGAAATTATGTTATTGTTTTTTTTCTTTTCTGAAAGCTCTCAGAAAGTGCTGCCCGGGGCGGATCGCCCCCTCTGAGCTACGCCACTGATTCAGGGTATTCAATACATAAGATGTCAATAATAAAAAAACAACAATAATAATTATTATAAACAAGTAGCAGTAAAAAGTGTGTTATTGTTATTATTATTATTATTATTATTATTATATTTTGATTTCTGCTATGGTCACACTACCTACCAAGTCTACAGGAAGACCTAAGGCAGGTAGTGGGGTGTAATGTTAAGGTTAAATTTCTTGATTTGTTTTTCTACCTCCCATAACATCACTAGCATTACATGGACAAAATTAGTGTGTGGGCTGTATATATCTAGACAGTTTTTTGTATTTCTCTTAAATTGGTATTTCCAGGGATTTTTTTAATGTGTTGTTGTGTTCCTTTTTTTTTTTTATCATTAGAAGCACACCTACTATTACTGGTACTATTCTTGTTTTCAATTTCCACATTTTTTTCTATTTCAATTTCCAGGTCATTATACTTTGATAGTTTTTCAAATTCCTTGGTTGCTATGTTACAGTTCACTAAGCAAGCCATATCAGTTAGTAGGCAAGTTTTTTCTTTTGTTTTTGTCAATTATGTCCAGCCTATTTGCTTCAATCTTCCTATTTGTGAGGATGGTGTAATCCCATAGAATTGTGATGTCTTCTATTTCTGTGACCAGTGCTGATGATGTTCATACCAATTTTTGTTAACATCTTTTCCAAAGTGTTTATACATTGTCCAGTATAAATATTGTTCCATTCTATTGTGATGATTTTTATATTCATTTAATGCAAGTACTGAACATCCTGAGATTAGATGGTCTATGGTTTCCTGATATTTTTCACAGAACCTGCTTTTTGGATCCACACTATTATGTATGATATTTGCCTGAAAGTTCTTAGTGAAAAAACTCTGGTCTTGTAAGAATAAAGCCTTCTGTTTCAGCCTTTAATCCAAATGCTCATAGCCAGCAATGAGTGTTAACTTTATCAACATCAGCTTTATTAGCACAATCTGGATATTAGTCATGCAGAGGTTTGTCTTGCCAGCATTGTTTCATCTATTCAAGAGCTTTATCCTTGGCTTTCTTTTTCATAATGTTTGCTGCAACATTTGGTTCTTGAGTTCTGTTTTGATTTTCTACAGAATTTACCAAATGTAAATCTCATTTGTATTTAAACCTTCTTTCATGATTGAATATTATTATTATTAATAATAATAATAATAAATTTTTTAACCTGAAATGCAGATTCTGTGATAAATATCCAGAAACAATTGACCATCTTGTATCATGTTGCATGGTATTAGCACTCACTGAATATAAAACTCATCATGACAGATTGGGCTAATATTTGCACTGGAAAAACTTGTATGAATACAACCCAGACCTGGTTACAGAAATAGGACCTGTAACAATTTTATGGGACTTTACAATACATACAAGCAGAACAATCAAAGCTCATCACCCAGACATCATTATTAAAGACCACAAGAACAAAATGTGCTTTCTTATTGACATGGCAGTCCCTGCAGATTGCAATGTATTTATGATGATCTTAAAAAAAAAAGAAACTATCAAAATACAAGGATCTTGAAGTGGAAATCTCAAAAGTGTGGCACATGAGGACATCAATGATTCTCATTGTAGTTGAAGCCCTCCGTTTGATTTGAATAGGTTCTGATAGACTCAATGAATAGAATCCCTAGTGGCCCATGCCTTAAAGAAATACAAAAAATTGTACTAACAAGTATAGCTCATACCTTACAAAGGGCTTTATCTATGGGAAATGTGTGCGATCTTAAGATGTTTTTTGATTTTTTTACAAAAATGATAACTGGAAAATGTCATGATGCTATTTCTGAGCTTAGGTTTTCGGTAAAAAATGAGTATACAACAGAAACCATAAGAAATAATAATAATAATACCAAAAACAACATTAATAATAATGGAATGATATTATTTTTTCTGGTAAAAATAATTAAAATAAATTTTTTTCAAAGCAATTTATGGCTAAAAAATATCAAGTTTAATTGATAGATCTGAAACTGGTATTTTGTACCATTTGTTAAAAACTTATCTAACAGGCCACTTGTATAGCTGAATGCAATATACAAAATGGAATTGTAAATAAATTTTATTGAGTATTGAATTAAAACCTATGAAAAGAAAGTCAAAATATTTAATAACATCTGTATTGCCTATTTTCTACAACAAATATATTGACAGCATTTATTTTTTGTTTCATTTTTTCTGATTATTTCGCAGGAATTGCTAAGTGTTAACATTGGACAATTATTCCGAGAATCATTCCACATGTTTCAACCTTTTGAGAAATACTGTGTGAACCAGGTTAGTAGAATTTTATACACTCTTTTTATTCTGTGTATCAGCCATTCTTGTCAGCAAGAAGGTGTCCAGGGTATTTTTAAAAACATGTTCTTTTACACACAGTGCATGGAAATTGCCTAGTGATGTTCAGGTTGTTGAAACATTTTTGTTGTCATTGCTTGCATGTTTTTCATTTAGTTACATAGGATACACACACACACACACACACACACACACACACACACACACACACACACACATATATCTATTCTATCTATCTATCTATCTATCTATATATATATATATATATATATATATATATATATTTATATACATGTCCCCCACACACATATATGTGTGAATTAACATAGGATCTGAAGTATGTGAATTGTTATGGCAATGATTACTTTAACTGTTAATTTTTGTCTTTTGGCATTTATCTACTGTGTTGATCAATATTATTTCAATCTGGCTGTTGATGAAGGTTTTCAGAGTAGCAATTAATTTTTATCAGTACCGAATATTGTTACTTAATTCATATAGTCAAATATTCAGCAACATTTAAACTTAATGTCAAGTCAATTAATGTTTATAGAATTTAAAGGGAAACAACTCTGTAATTGTAGTTAATATATCTGGAGTTATCTCCCTTCGCCAAAGATAATTTTGTCAATTTATACTTAATTTATACTTAATACATACACTTAAATAATTTGAAACGAACAAGTCCACAACATTTTTGGACAGAAAATAAAATTGCATCACTTTCAATATGTGCTTCAGTTTACTCAAGATTAAATGTACAGATAATATTGCTGGATTACATTAAATAAAGCTGAATTCCAGACAGTGTACTGGTATGAATGCTATTTCATCACAAAATAGAAGATTTTAGAAATTTTTATCAGAATATCTACTACTGCCTAGCATTCATATACTGTATAGAGGTCAAAATTGGCTTCATTCTTCAGGGTGTTGCAATTTACTTTCCTCTCGGATATATATATATATATATATATATATATATGAGACATTTTTATGTTTATACTGATTTATTATAAACAGGGCATTTACTTAAATATTTGTATCTATAAAAAGAACGTATAAACATAAAAAATATCTTAAAATAATTGTTGGACTTTGTCCATTTCATAATGTGTGATGTCATATATATATATATATATATATATATATATCCATGTGAAATGAGAACAAATAGAATCCAATTCAAACGTTCATAACATTAAATTTAAAAGAGGGCTTAATACTGAAGAATAATGTACAAATTATACTACACTGAAATTGATCTTACTTACATTAAGATCAATTTCAATGTAGTATAATTTGTACATTATTCTTCTAGTACTGGTGGTAATATTTAGCATAGAGGTGTTCAGCTGACATTTTGCATTGATTGGTTTTATTAACGTCACATATAAGACCCTTTAGTTAACAGTTGCATTCTATTTTGTATGATCTATATATTTATATAATTTTATTAGATCTATATGTTTAAATAATTCTGTTTGATTAATATATTTAAATAATTTTATTAGATCTATATATTTCTAATAATTTCGTTAGATCAGTTTGTTTAAACTTTCCATTTATTTCTTAAAGAGCCATATTATTTACCAACTATAAAAATGTGAAATTTTAACTTTTAACTCACAGGGTATGTGGTTTATCAAGTATCTTGTTAAATTATGTTTCTTCTCTCATAAGAAATGACATGTGTCTAATGTATAACATTGTAGCAAATTTATATTTGTATCAAATATGATGTCTAGAGGTTGTCTATGATTCTTAATCTGTGGATCATGACCACTTATGATTGCTTCTTAACTTCTGTTTCACCCCCTTACTTTGAACTTATTGTAGGCCATTTTGATTGGTGATTTGAATATAAACAAAACAAATCCTGCTTCTATCTTCTCCTTTTTCTTTCTTACTTTTTTCCCTTATTCTTCCATTTCTCAGGAAATGAGAGTTTATCTTGTATCTTTCTTTCCTATTCTTTTTTCTTTTCTTATGAAAAGAGGTTGTATGTTGTTTAAATTTCAATAAATTGTCTACTAACCAGTTATTTACTAATGCCTGATGAGATGTGTTAATACACGTTGAAACATGATTGCATTTGTGTAGCGTTTTTTTTTGCATGTTTTTGATGTAATATCCTAAAATAAAGTATATATATATATATATATATATATATATATATATATATATAACCGGATGGGTAAATATAGGTAGGTATATCAGTGAGTGATTCGGCACCTCGACGTGGTGTAATGGTTAGAAAGCTTGTCTTGCTAGATCACTTATGACTGAGTAGTGAATTTGATCCTCACTGGGTACCCCATACTTTCGGCCTTGTGCCACATCTAAGCTGGGCTTAGAAAATCATTATATGAGTGAGTGATCGTATACTAACACATATAAATACTCTATAACTCTGTAGTGTAAAAAAAAACAGTGCTCAATGTTAAGTAACAGAGTTATTTAATATATACAAATATAAGAAATATACATATCTTATATTAATTGCATAACTCCGAGTTTCATACTGAAGTAATTTTCAAGTGCTGAAATTATTATATTTATTTTTATTTATATTTTAATTTGACAAAAAATATAAATAAAAATAAATATACTTGTGAAGTTTTGCTACTGGTGAGGAAAAAAATGTATGTTTATTATTAATACACCTTCATAAAATACATCTGTTGATGCTTTGGTACACATCATCAGTGATGGTTCATTAGGGGTTCTGGGCCTTTCAACATCATACCACCTCTCTGCAGTGACCCAGCTGATATTGATCAGGTATTGACTTGTGTACCATCCATTAGCTAGAATTTTCTCCATCTTCCCAATCACGCACTGCAACTCTTCTTGGTATTTTATAGTCCAATCATGGATAACTTCCAGATCATCAGCAATATATATTCTTCCATAAAAAGGAAGCAAATGCAATCATGGTTTTGAGCTGGTAAGGAACATGGCGACATGCTTATGATAAATCAGGTATGTATGTACAACGATTTGTATCCTTATATATATATATATATATATATATATATATATATATATATATATATATATATATAAGCAAAACACATGAAGAATCACATTCTGCTTACTCTTATCCCATTTCCATTCATATTAATCATCCACCTGAAGAAAAAAAAGTTAGCCCCCTCCTCATGTGTCAATTGTGCATACACAGATACATATACACTTATCTGCCTGCCTATATCTACTAGCATTTGCTAGTCTGGGGCAGAACTGAGGAGAGATGTTTTCTTCTATAATTTCTTTTCCCTGGCTCTGACAAAATTCGTTCATATTAGTTTGTTTGGAGACTCCTTGAGACTATTGTTGCAATGGCTCCTAAAACTTTATCATGGCGCCACTGGTAACACCACTCACTTAGTGCCTTGGGGCAAATGCTCAATACATGTTGGAGGGATCTTTTCTTCTGGCACAACGGACAGTGGAGACTCACTCATTCCTCACATGTGGAAGTTTACTGAGCTGGGTAGTGTATCATACACTGCCTGCACAAAAAATTTGTATTACTGGGATTAGTATTCCAGAGATCTGTCTAGGAAATCTTCCCTTTTTCTAGGTTTTTCCATTTTGTCCAGGCTCCCTGTTGACCTAAGGCCAGCATTTTACTGGCTCTAATTTCCTCCACACCTGCTCTCACTTCATATTGAAGACTATTTCTGATCTTTCCTTTTTTCTTTCCTTTGTGGATTGGAACAGTAACCTAGGACTGATGTGCCCACTGCCACTGTTTCTACTAGTGCTTTCTGTCTTAACCTTTGCTCTGCTGTTTTGATCTTGTGTGATGCCTTCCATTTTCTCCCAGTTCGAACCTCTATTCCTGCTGCTACAACTTTAGGATCTTTTGAATCCCTATATAGGATTGCCTCCCTTGTCTTCCCTACTTTAAACTTCTCAACTAATCCTTTGAAGAGGAGTTGCAATGCATTCGATACTGCTCAAACTCCTTTGTAAGCTGAGCCATCTTCTCAAATACCTGCTAACTTTTTTCTCCATCTTCTCAACTGTTGTCAATGCTACTTTGTCAGGGGCCACAGAATGTTAGGCAAAATGGTATATTGATATATCCATGACTTAAGATGGCCTGGCAGCCCTGACTTGTCCACTTTGCTCAACATTGCTTCGCGGTCTGAAAAGATTTCTGGGTAGCATCCGTATCTTTTAAATTAGCACTGAATATTTTATCCAGACACTTAAATGGTTTTTGTTTTAATGATGGGCTAATGGTTCCTGCAATCTTGAAATGGAACTTTTCTATCACAATCCCTCTCTAATGACCTCGATTTTGTCAGTTTAAACTTCATTCATGCCTAAGTCATTATCTTTTCTAAACCCCGTAATATCCAACAACAGCAGATTTAGTAATTGTCAAATCATCCATATATGCACGGATCAGAGGTTGTTATACTCCATTTTTCATCACTGGACTTCGACACTCAACTTTTGCTGATTTTACTAACATGTTAAGGTAAATAATATCACTGAGACTGTACATCCAGTTATAATTCCCCTTTCTAGCTGATGCCAATTGGAAGATATCAGAGGTTGTTTTTATGCTGAAATAATTGTCATGCAAACCCTTCTTTCTGTACTGAAATATCTATGTAATTGTTGGCACCAAGATAATGCTGAAGTCATTGGGGCAGGATGCTGAAGAAGATTTTGTTCTCAGTGTCCAGCAAAGAAATCATTCTAAACTGTTCAATTACTTTTGAGTTTTCTTCTTTAGGAATCCATACTGCATTAGCAAACCTCCACTGTTTTGCAACTCTACCTCTTCTCCAAATTGCTTTTAATATCTTCCAGAGATGTACCTGAATATTCAGACATCTCTTATAGACACTATAGGGAACACCGCTGGGTCCTGGGGCTGAAGCTGATCTAGTTGCTAATATGACCACCTTTTAATTCTTTCCCAAGTTCCTTTCATGGGCTTTGTCCATGTTTTAATATGTATATATTAAATATATTTAGGGACAATGACAGCTACTACTCAACCACAAGTAGTGACAATGACAAGCAATTAACAATTTCAGTTAAGCACTATCCATCCAGGTTAAATCAACTAAGTTTTTGGAGGTAGGAAAAGAAAGAAAGAAAAATTGAGTAAAAACTGAAAAAGAGTAAAAGCATGTATTATTAAAATGCAGAGAATGTGTTGTTCATGTTACCAGCAAAAAAAATCACTTTCCAATTTTTTTAGTTTTGACAGAAAAAAGAAAAAAAATTTAATTTACTTTTTATTTTTTCATAATTTTTATTTAAAAAAATAAACATCAGTCTAAAAATATAATTTAAGTGTTTTTTTTTGTCTTGTTGATAAATATTAGGACGAATCATAAATAATTTAAGTTTTTGATTATTTTTATTCTTCAAAAATAAAGGACAATTACATTTTATTCAATTATATATTCACTATTAATTGCAATGACATGTTACCACTTATCAAATACCTTTGAGATGTGAAAATCTTTTGACAAACTCTTGAATCTGGTTTTTATTAGAGAGAATTTACCTCATTAAATTGTTTTGCAGTTAGTAAAAAAGGTAATTCTTAAATATTATACTCTGCTGCAATTCAATCTATTTATGATTCACTCTATAGGTTGGCTAGATGTAAATGATAAGAAAGCAAAACGCAAAAAATTTGTTTTCCGCAGTCCACAAAACGGATCACTTCAATAAAATACAATAGCCAATCATGAACATACTTGCTGAAAAAAAGATTACCCTTGGGGCCACCAGATTTGGTTAAAAGAAAACCCCTCATAAATGACCAACACAATAGTAGGCCTAGAGGTCATCTGTTGTCACATGTACACTGGTCACTGTCATGATTGCCTCTCTCGTCACCACTGTGACATCACCCAAGCTTCACACACAGAATAGGCTCCTGATGACACCACCATAAATTCAAGCACCTCAATGCTTAACCATTCATCTCCAGGTCTCCCTTATTGTTACTACTGGTGCCCTGTTTTCATTGATCTCCCATTTGACCAGAATCCAACAGATATTCCACTACCAACCTGCCAATACAGCCTTTGTATTGACAAAGTCAGATTCGTGACTTCTGACACTTCACTCTTGCATCCTCTGTATTGGCATAATCAGATTTGTGACTTCTCCCGACTTGTCATGCTCACACTCTTGTAGTGGCAAAATCAGATTTGTAGCTTTGCTAACCACTCTGGACCTCCAATTCACCAACACACCTTACCAGTCCTTAACCATGAATCAACCTACCACTGTGATCTCAATCAATCAACATGCAGTTCATCTTCAACATCTTGGCCTCATCACACTTCACAGATATTGATTTCAACCCTGAAGAAATTAACCCCCACCAATGACATTCCACTAGGCTCTACTAATCTACTCCAGGCCTCTTTCATGATACCAACCATGACCTTGGCTAACCAACCCAAGAAATTGATCAACTCCCAGCCTTACCAACAACATCCTTATATCTAATCACTTTCCTTACTAAAGCAACTAAAGAACCATGCTGGTATATGTTGGGGAGTTCTCTTCTCTAAGTGTTGAGTGGTCCAACCTGTGTAGTCAGCTTCATGCTGTCATTTCAATTATTATTTTTTTCCAGTCTTTAAAATGTTTTGTTTATTTTTTCCCTTAATCTCACATGGTAATTCAGGGTTCAAATCTTATTAGGCTGATACCTAGACCAAAAGTACTTAAAGATCTTATGAGGGATACAAAATTTAATAAAGGTAATAAAAACAGATATAAAAGGGTCAAGAGGAAAACTACAGTAGTTGACAAAATGAAAAGAAAAAATGAAAAGAATAAAAATACTATAGAATAAGCTAAGTTAATTCCCTTCTCCAAGGACACATGGCACAGTGGATAAAAGCATTGGTTTGATTCAGTGACAGGACCCAAAGAGTTGTGAGTTCAATACCTGGTTAAGGCAGTGGAGAACTTGGAGTAGGGAATAAATAGGAGATAATTGATAACTGATATCCATTAGACATGGCACGTGGAAGTAGAACAGTCTACCCCAGCAAACGAAATAAAGGATTCAGTTCAACATTCCAACCACCTGAAGAAGGCTGGAGCATACATTGACCCAAATTTATGATAAATATGGCAACAAAGATGAGGACAATAGTCTGAATAATGTAAATAGTGTACATAATAGCTCATCCCAGAAATATAGACGGATCAATAATATATAAATACATGAATTGCACACAAAGTGCTGGTGTTATAGAAACGGTAACATCACTTGATGTTATATAACAGAGCTATAAAGTATATATATATTAATGAATATACATATCCTACATCATGTCATATAGGAATAAAGTGTCACTGCTGACTCTTGGGTTTGAACACAGATTGCCAGAGAGCAAGCACAGTTGATTTCATCTTGAAATAATTAGATCACATGACGGATAAAGGAAAAATATATATATGGGAATTAACAGAGTCTGACTGAGTATTGTTCGAAGGCATTACTATTGTTGTACCTGTGATTTACAAAGTCTCTTCTACGAACGGGCATTACAAAAGTGGTGATAAGTATTTGTTGAACTTACCTGAGGAAAAAACAAAATATATGTATCCTACATGTTGTAATAGGATATTCAGTAATATTTACCACTTCACCAAAGAGACGTCATATTTGCAGAACTTCAGAGAAATAACCAGTTATAAGAATAAGTTATTCAAAAATTAATCTACAAAATATTCAGTGGAGTACAGCAAAATGGCAGAACTAAAAGCTATCATGATTCAATTGTTGGCGCTACAAAAGCAACAAGAAGAACAACAGTTGTAGCAACAAAAACTACAACAAGAACAGCAATCGCAGCAACAAAAACAACAACATGAACAACGATTACAATTACAACAACAACAACAACAGAAGTTTTTTGAATTATTTACTAAAACTACAGAAGAAAAGACTTCAGATTCATTCACTCCAGATGCTGTTGCTAATTCAATTAGCAAATTTGTATACAATCCAGATGAAGGGATAATTTTTCCAGCTTATTATACAAGATACAAAGGGGTCTTCAAAAGGGATTGTTTGCATTGGAATGATGAAAAGAAAGTTTGTTTATTATTAAGGAAATTATCCCCTGCTGAACTTGAAAAATATGTGAATTATATTTTGCCAAAAACACCAGGTGAGATAAATTCTGATGAAGCAGTTGTAATGCTATCAAAGATTTTTGGTGATAGGAGCTCATTATTTAATAATTGATGTCAATGTCTTAGTAAAGTGTGACAGTGGAGTTTTTGTCACTTATGCAGGAGTCGTGAATCAAGAATGTGAGAAGTTCAAGTTAAATGAATTAACTCTGGATTTGTTTAAATGCCTAATATTCGTACAGGATTTAACTTCTAATAAGGACGTGGAAATAAGATCCAGGATACTTGCTAAATTAGAAATGGATCCTAAATTAAATCCAGAAAATAGCGGAAGAGTGTCAATGTATTGTAAATCTAAAACTCGATACCACAAGAATTGAGGAAAGAGACATTTCACAAGTACATAGCATCCGACCATTTAAGAGAAAAGATTGTAGACATTTTCCAATAGAATTATCTATGTTAGTGCAGCTATAACTAATTTTGACATTATTTTTGTTAAAAATCTTTTTTAATTCTGGTGAATGGTTAAAATGCTTGTGGATCAATTTTATGAAAATTTTTCCAACATTAGTTTGGACATTAAAAAGTGAGTTAAACCATATGATTTTGCATTTGTGGTGTTTCTGTTTTGTCTTATCATCCTTGTTCTTATCCAAATACTCTAAGTTTAACTTATGATTGCTAAGTTCCAAAGCCTTATTTATCTTTAACATTATTAAATATAATATGGTTTCCATTGTCACATTAGAATAAAGAAGCTATTTTCATCCACTCTTATCTAAAGAAGAAATGATTATATAATGCTTATTGCAGAACTCTTGATGAAAAGCCAGTAATGTTGCAAGGATCATAGGAGATACCCAGATGAAAAAGTAGATGTAAGACATCTGCTTGTTCAATTCTGATCAATCAAATATTTGATTTTTGTCTTTTTCAGACATCTGCAACTGAACTTCTTGAGCAACTAGAACATGAAAAAGAAGTGCTGCGTGCATTTCTGCAAGTCTCTCAGGCAGAAAACAGTGTACTCCGGCGAATGAATCTAAAATCTTTCCTCATGGTTCCAGTGCAGAGGATCATGAAGTAAGTAAGGAAAATTATTATTTAGCAATAAAATTTACCATTCCAATTTTATCAATGTTTCGAGTTTCAAATTTCTAATAGTTTGATGCAACAAGTATTTGAACTAAGACAAGTTTGATGTAACATCTGTATGAAGTGCTCAGTAAAAATCATATTCATTATCACTAGCAAGTAAAACTAGTATACTTATGAACTGTACTATTATCCAGTTAGACTATATAAAAATTGTACATAGTACTTTTAAGAATACTTTTGGCTATGGGAAGAATACTTATTTGTGAAATCCTTATTCTATTATTACATTTAAATAAAATTATTTTCCATTTTATTATGAGAAGAAAATGGTGAGAAAGTTAAACTTTGAAAGATTTTAACTTCAGTCCTTTATATATTCTTAAAAAAACTTATATAATAATTGAACATTAATACATTTCTAAAGTTAAACAATTTCTCAAACAAATTTTTACAGCTTTTTCTCAAGGAATCATTCTGTAGTTTGAACATTAATTCAATTTTGTCATTAATATATGAAAAATCTAAGGAGCAGTTAAAAAGAATGCTTAATCAATCTTTTTCCTATTACAGGTATTTATTAATCTTAACACAGTGGGTAAGAAGATTGTGGTATACCAATTTTTTAAGGGTGAAGGCCTGTTTACATTTATAGAAATAGGTAAAAGTAGATATTCACTCAGCTTAGTTTAATCTGATACTAGGTGATAATAGTTAAGTACTCACTGAAGATTGGACTCACGTGCAAACATCTTTTTACTGTTGACACATGTGTTACTCCTAGCATGGTAAGGTTGTGACCCCTATACTCTTCAGTGGAGTCTACAATATTAACATACAACATCTTTTGCACTTTCCCTCAGTCCATAATTAAAACTGACACTTGCATTTATACTTTCTCTTCCACATAATTCCATCAATAAAAAGATTACTTATCTGATGATTGCCTAAAATATGTGAATCTGACTGTTACCATAGTGTTGATTTCTATCTCGAGACTGTTTCTACAAATGCTTTATCTGATATAAAGCGCTCTTCCCCTGTAAATATAGAAAAATTTAAACAATATAATTAAACAATAATATTATATTTGTATAAATACGTGTGTAGAAAGATTTTTTAATAGTAAAATTTAAGCTTTTAGATATTTACCAGTAAGGATCAAAATTGCTATATTAACAATAGTATGTAAGACTACCTTGTTAACCATCACTTTATAGAGGACACATCTATCTTCTGTATCAGTAAACTTTCTTTCAGGTTAATTTTTTTCCATAGTAATAAAACATAAGCTTTGCTGACTGACTGAGACATTAAGGAGGTTGAAAGAGCTGCCCACACCCACTGGAAAGCACTGGTGGGAGATGGCAATAAGAGAAAGTAGAAGTAACCAGGCGGAGTAATCCCTGCATCCATCTCCCATCTCCCATGAGAGAAGGAGAGATTCCCCAAAAAGATTATGAAGTAATTTAATTTCTCAGGACCAAAATAAATGGACTCTTGTTGGAAATCAGGAGATTCACTGAAACCCAACCTACATCTTACCTCACACCAGTTTCTAGTTAGCGTCCATAAAAATGGATGTGCAAAAGCCATTCAGACAGTTGTCAGTAGACAGTTGACAGTCAAGAGCTGTGAAGGGAAGTGGCAGAGGTTGCTGAGAGATTCCACAACTCTTGTTGAACACAAGAACCTCCAACTTCAGCCTTGAGCCAAACTTACCAAATCAATAAAACAAATTTCGCTAACTCTGCAAGCCAAAACTTACCAGGTTACCCAAGTGTTGCATCCAATTTAAGAATGGGTTGGGTCAACAAACACCTGTATGCAAACACTACTAGTAATGAACCATTGTACACAGTATTCAATATAAAAATAGTAATTATTTTTTTATATATATTTCAAGTGCTGTTTTTTCTCCAATTTTTTTGTATGACTTTGCTCGAGCTGGGCCAGCCCAACATGAACATACCTGCGATGAATCGATCTTGGCCTCCTTATAATCAATCAATAACAACGTGGGGTAGGGCAGGTCAGGATTGATGAGATCACTATTGATTAATCCAGGATTCACCCCAGGCTGACCATGATGAAAGGGTTACATTTGTTGTCATGAACCAGGATAGACCCTTCATTCAACAAGGATCAAGCAACCAGGATCATTTCTTTACTTCAACAAAACACCATTTGTTTGCCAATTTCACCTCTGAAATTCCATATGCCAATAGAGTGCACGAACAGTTACCTGAATCAGTTGGCCATTCCATTATAATGATGTTAGTTAGCTCTCTCAGGTGTTAGAGTATCAGGTCTCCAATCTAGTTAGCATCTTACTCACAAATGCAACAGGCATTTCTTCCTCTAGTAGCACTGCTCCTAGTTCTGCAGTGTGAAAATTTCATCAATGTGCTTTTGTTAATCTCCTCTTTGATATTTTGACCTACATGGATTGCTAAAAAAATACCCTAACAACACCTTTAAAGCATTTGGACAAAATACACCACAGTGTTAAGCATTACAGCTGGTCCACAGACACATGCATCACCATGCAGCTTACGACCAGAAAAATAGAAAACAGCAAGAGGGGAATTCCAGCACATTCTTCAATTAGGAATAATACAGCTCTCATGTAATCTGTATTCTTCACCTTTACATATGGTATCCAAGCCTCACGTGGGCACTTGGGGAGCTTGTGGAGAATTTAGAAGCCTCAATGCAAAAACTGTTCCTGATAAATATCCAATATCTCATATACACGATTTTGCCATAGGGTTGCAAGGAACCAAAGTCTTCATGAATTTGGATTTAGTAAAAGCTTACTACCAAATCCCAGTAGCTGAAGAGGATATTAAAAAAACTGCAATTGCTACTCTTTTCAGACTATACAAAATTACTAGGATGATATTTCAGTTATGTAATGTGGCCCAAACCTTTCAAAGACTCATAGATGAAGTCTTAAGTGGACTACCTTTTGCTTTTGCTTATATTGATGATTTTCTCATCGCCAGTCAAAATGATACAGAACATCAACAATACATAGAACAAGTTTTCCAGAGGTTGGAACATTTCAGCTTAAAAATCAACACTGAAAAATGCTCTTTTGCTGTTTCAAAACTAAATTTCCTAGGACATGTTATAGATGAACATGGGATCACACCTGTCCCAGAGAAAGTATCAGTGATTAAGGATTTTCCACAACCAACATCACTACAACAACTTCAGTGATTTCTCAGCCTAATAAATTACTATTGTAATCCCGGGTTGTTCCAGAATACTAGCACCACTTACTAATCTGCTACAAAATCAAAGGAATAAGAATGCTAAAATACTTATGAAAGACAAAACATTAGCTGCTTTTCATGAAGCTAAAAAAGCACTTGCAGACTTTATTAAGCTATCCTACATCACTGACAATGCTGATTCGACACTCACCTTAACAACTGATGCTTCTGGCGATTCTATTGAAGCAGTACTTCATCAGAACCAACATAACTCTAAGAAGCCGATATCACTTTTTTTTGTGATACTTAATACTATACAGAGAAAATACAATACCTTCTCAAGGAAATTACTAGCAGTTTACCTATCTACACAATATTTTCGACATCTACTCAAACGACTAACTTTCACACTTTTCACTGACCATAAACCACTTGTTTAGGCGTTACATGCAAAAACAGATAAATACACACCCAGAAATACCTGACAACTGGATTACATATCCCAATTTACCTTAGATATCCAATACATTAAAGGATCAAACAATATCGTGGCTGACACACTCTCCTATTCCATAATACAGTCTGTTGAGTCTGAACCACTCAACTTTGATCTTATAGTCGAAGAATAACAGAAAGATACCTCACTAGACATGGTGAAACAAAATACCTCTTTACAATTAAAAGAACACCCTGTACGATTCAGCAAAAAGACGTTATTATGTGATGTAAACACCGGTTATTCAAGACCTTATGTACTGCCCTCAATGTGCAGGAGGGTATGCGAACATTTTCACAAATTTTCACACCCAGGATACAGAGCTACAACCAAATTAATTAGTGACTTTTTTTCTCTGGCCAAACATGTGCAAATTTCCATCAAGGAATGTTTGAGAAAAATCAGATCAACTTTGGCACAATTCTTAATATATAAAAATGCCTATGCACGTTTTCTAAAAAAAATAAAACACTCGACCACATTTTTTGACTAGTCAGGTGTACAAAAAATATGCAGTCGTTTCATAAAAAATTTGTGGCACTAACACACGTGTACATGATCCCATCAGAACATTTAAATAATGAGAATATTTTCAAACCACTTCAGAACAGTTTACTTGTCCGGCAAGCAAGATGAACATAACTGTGTTTTACTGCAAGCCCGCTACTTTGACCACTGAATGAACAGCATCAAATTACAATTCTCAACTTGGCAATAATGCTTTTATCACCATGCAGCTGCTGATATTCCTCTACAACTCACAGAGACTTTAAAGAAAAACAAAACATAAACAATTAATTTTTGTTATCAGACATTTCCACATTTCTTGTGTTGTAAAAATAAAATAAAATAAAAACTTATCTGTTTTGTAGCACTCATGTTAATTGTTTTCTATTAACATTATTTCCACTATACATGTGTGTTGACATTAAACATTGGACTCAGACCTGTTTAAATTGCCAGAAGAGCAAAGAGAACAGACACACAAAGTCCCCTGTTGAGCAGTTTGCTAAACTGAACGACAGATCTACCAATTTACACATCAATTTAGTGGGTCCCCACTGGAAGTAGGATATCACTACCTGCTCACCATAATTGATCGATTTACATGTTGGCCAGTTGTTGTCCCTTTAAAAAATATCAATGGAAACAGTCTCAAAAAGTATCCTACAGGAATGAACATCTATTTTCGGTTGCCCTTCAGTGATAACTACAGATAGTGAATCACAGTTTTAATCCACACTTTGCACTGAATTTGCCAATTTATTGGGAGTCAAACACGTATCAACCACAGTGTATCATCCTTGTGTGAACAGCCTGGTTGAGCATTTCCACAGACAGCTAAAAACAGCATTAACATCCAATGATTCTAGAACATGGTTGAACAATTTACCACTTGTGCTATTATCAATAAGAAACATAATTAAGGAAGATTTGGGTTGCACAACCTCAGAATTGGTTTTTGGTACAACTTTAACACTTCCAGATCAATTTTGTGACAGAAACAAGTATTTAAAACTGACAACACATTTTTTCCAATCTTTTAAACAGTGAACTCAATCTTGAGACATTTATACTCCCAAAGATTTGCACACTTGTGATTATGTTTTTATTCATAATGATGCAGTTAAAAAACCTCTTTGCCTAACATACATGGGCCCTTATCAGATCATAGACAAAAAACCTAAGTACTTTACAGTAGTCATATATAATAAACCAAACACAGTCTCATTAGACAGATTGAAACCAGCATATGTGGATTTACCTAAACAAGTGTAATGACTTCACCACAAACAACAGTGACAGAATTTATTTGAACACCTGCAAACACAACCACGAAATCATGTAGAAAGGTATATTGGCCTACACATTTCAGAACATATATTACATATTGAAAAATATTTTTTCAATATACTGTCAATCTGCAGGGGGCTATACACGATCCAGATCCTATATTGTTCTCAAAACTTCAAAAATTAAACAAAACATAGGTTCCAATTTAAATTACACAACTAACGTAATTTGATTGGTTCAAAAATATCACATGGCATGTCGTCAACTATGTCCGCATGTCTGATCTTAATTTGACCTGATCAAAGGTACTGTTGCTCTAAAATTTTAAAACATCTTCTGGAGTCTATCACGTGACATATATTGCTTATATAAACAACAAACAATTAAGAAAGGTGGAGTGGGGGGAAAATCAGCCGAAAAAGCTATACGCTATGTGATGAGACTCATCATAAACTAACTTTCAACTGAAGTCCAGACTATAAGTTAAGAATCCTTTTTAACATAACCAGTCTATTTCCTTCATTCAATGCAAACTAAATTTACATTGGCAAACAACAAAACAACAGACACTCAAATGTAACAATGTAAGTCACACTCACATATGCTTTTTCTACAAACTTTAAACTGTTTATTTTTGAATACAAACAATATTACATGGAACTGAATTTTTCCAAATTCACACAAATTACCCTATGACTTGCAGTCTATCAAACTGGAACACAAAAATCTAAAAAGACAAGTTTATTTCCCCATTTTAAACATTCATAATTTTTTGTATATTTGTTATATAAAAATTTACTTATTTGTACAATTTCTCTTGTCTGAATTTTCTTGTTTCTTCTTGTTATTATTTTGTGGCATTGTGTTTAATATAAATTAGTGAGGGCAATTGACACCCACAAGAGTCACTCCTGCTGTTTAGATTTTGTAGCTTAATTGGTAAGGATTGATGTTGTATGTCAGGATTCCAAAGATTAGTAATGCAAGTTCAAATCTCACAGAAAGTGTAATCTTTATTTCTAATCCTTACTTAACAAAAAGCAACAGAAATAAAGGAAAAAAATAAAAAAAGAAATAAAGGTGAACATTTAATAATAATGATTGAGTGTTTTATGATTTCATGTCTAGGTACCCTCTTTTACTGACCCGCCTTTATAAGTCAACATCAATGCGACATCAAGACTGTGCCTTCTTACAAGAAGCTCTGACAGGAATTGAAAGAATTTTGGAAGAAATCAATGCTGTAAGTATTTTTTCTATTACTAATAGTAATTTACAAGTTAGGTTGAAAATATGTTTTTATATGTGTACAAGCAAAAACTGATAATATATATATATATATATATATATCAAGTGGGGGATGCAAAAGTAGGTATACAGTAATGAAAAACAATGTGCACACAAAATGTATTGTATTGATTATACAACATATCAATCCCTTTATGTTCAAATTGTTTGCCTCCATCATTCACACACTCCTTTTTACATTTATTATCATTATTTATTAAAAAATAAAAATGATACAAATGATTTTAATGAATTAAATGAAATCTAGTATTAAATGAATCCTAGAACCAATATTATAATAATACTAGTAATACTTACTGTACACCTACTTTTATAGCCCCTGGTATATATATTTTTAAATTCCATATACATAAGTTCCAAATGAAAAAAATATCTATAGTCTTTTATCTACTTCTACTAAAATTTCTAAATAATTTTATTCTATTGTTCTCTATTTTCAGAAAACTAAAGGCACTGGCTCAGTGAAACTGAAGAGAAAGCGGTCTGAATTGCGAAGGCATAGCTCTACAGATAAATTTGAATTAGTCAAGGTATGCTGTAATTTTACTGACTTATTATAATTTATATATTTTGTATTTAAATTAATAATTTTTATAGTATGAATTTTACAGTGAGAATCATTTGCTATAACCAAACTTGTATCTTCTATCTTCTTGAAATATAGAGTAAATATAAAATTGCAATAACTCAGTTCGGATTACAATCAATATTAAAATTTTTAAAGAAATATTTTGCTCAAAATTTTTATCAAAGAATATAAAAAAAAGGAAATTAAAAACATTTTATTAAAGTGAATGCATCACTAAAAATAATATTTTGAACATGCAAAATTCTGAAATTTTCATTGATTTGATCAAAAACTTAGAAGAATGGAAAACTGTTCTTCTATATTCTAGACAGCACTGAATCTTCTAGAGTGGAACCAACATGAAGTCCATGATATTTTGGTAGGAAGTTTACAGTACACACAACCACAAGATCATTTCTGGACAGCTAAGAAATGCCGCAATCTCAAATTCACACCTGTACATGCTTTATTGCTGACAAGAGGAGAGGTGAAGTAATATTTTTATCATTGATTTTCTATGTTTCAGTTCCATCTGGGTATGTTATTAGTTATTAAAATTTATGTTCCTTGTTATTCAGCCGTGTTCTTATATGGAAATTTGCCTTCTAGCTTGAAATTGCAAAAAACAGCTAACATTTGCTGGATCAGAGTCTAGATATCTACAAAAATATGAGAGGCTCCATGCATAACTTCAGCTATATAAAAAAAATGAAAAAGAAAGGAACGTCATAAAATAATTTGGGCCAATCAAAAAGATGAACACAAAGAGAGTTTTTATGCTAACTGAAACCAAACTTTGTGCCAGTAGGCTGGGAGTTTTGTCAAAAGGGATATAAATTGACAGCCCTGAGTCAGAAGGCGAGAAGGGACTGCCAGAGAAACCAGCCATGCGTGTCGCATGATGGAGTTAATTGATCATCTGCTTAAGGCATTTTTCTCCTCTTCTTAGAGCCAAGAAAAGGACAGCAGATTGATACCATATCTATTTCTAAAGTGAAAACTACTATCAAGGTCTGACTTCTAAACTGCCACTGAAATGGACTTTCTCCCAGCTGCTACCAAGATTTGCCTTACAAACAAACTTTTGTTATGCTGAATATCAAAGGACTAATCAAATCTAAATCAAATAAATAAATATATATTATTTGTTTATATCCTTGAATGAGTTCATTTTATTGTCTATGTTTCTGAAAAATAATACCAAGTCTCTCTGACACAACTCTCCAAAAAATAACAGAAAAGATTATTTGGCAGGAAATAAATTTTCAGAGGGGAAAAATTATTGCTTTGAAAAATTTTAAATATTTTTTAATATATGAATTTTTTTTAAAGCTCAATTCTGTTTTTTTTTTTTTAGCCTCAACAAGAGAGTACCATCACAAAGAAGTTGCTTTTTACACAGCAAACTATGGTTAGACAAGCAGCTCTTGTTCTCCTTCGAGGTAAAGGTGGAAGATATCAAGCTGTTAGAGTAAGTTTCTTCAATTGTTTTCTTTCTTTTCCTTTTTGCCTTTTCATTCAGAAACAGTGTTGAAACCAGGCACAATACAATCCTCTTAAATTTGGGAAGATATAATGTTTCTCTCAATTCTCTCAATTTAACCATAGATTTTTAAATAATAAAATAAACACAATGAAATAATATACACGGCATAGCATACAAATAATATTTTTTTGTGCATATAACTGTACATATATAATAAAAGTTCCCAAATTTTCCCATCATTTTAATAAAATTTTGTATGTTGATGTAGTGATGTGTTTATTCAGAAACTTTTATGAAGTGTTTATTCAGAAATTTTTTGAAATGCTGAAAGCAGAATTAAAATTTTAATCAACATTTGTAAATAAGAGTTAAAGTCAAGAGAAATATATTTCATGGTCAGAAATATTAAGAGAGAACAGACATTAGAAGCAATAATAATTTATTCTACAGAAAATAATAAATTTCAGTGAACAGATATGAGGGTCAGCTGAAAAGTTCAAAGGCTGACCAAGATACTCGCATGGAATGTGATCAAATAAGGTTCATTTTTCAACATAATCCCCCTTGCAGTCCACACACTTCTTCCATCAGTTGCAGTTCTTGAATCCCATTTGTGATGAAGCTTTCATTTTGTTGGTCAAAAAAAGTCATCAACTGCAATACTGGTTCCCAGCCAAGTATTTTTTCATGTTGGGGAACAGATAATAGTCAGATGGGGCCAAATAGGGAATAGGGAGGATGATCAACCAGTTTAAAGCCACAGTCACACACAACAGCCATTGAAACCAAGGACTTGTGTACTGAAGCATTGTCTTGATGAAACAAAACTGCTTCCATCAGTTTTTCTGGTACCATTTGTTCTTGATAGTCTTTTGTAACTGCCTTAGGAAACCAGACAAAAAGACAATCTATGTAGTGGAAACACCCCTGTTCACCTGCTCCAAAGAAAGCCATTCAAATTAAGTTCATTGTGCAGAATATTCTCTACTCTCTCACTAAATATGCTAATAAAATTGGCTATTTTATTTATAAATTAATCGACGTCATTTCATCAATTTTTGAACATGATCAATGACAGTTCCTTGGTAGTGGCAGTTGAAGGATGTCCAGAACTTTGATCTTTTTCTCTCTCTTCCTCCTAAATTCAGCTGCCCACTTTTGCACATTTAATTAAGCTTGAGCATCATTCCAAATGTAAGTTCATGTCAGCATGAATATCTTTGAAATTTAAACCCCTTTTTCTGCAGCTACTTGATAAATAAATGATGCTAAATTTTGTACATTTTCAAGAGGAGTCCCTACTAGTTACTTTTGAAGTTTTCTTTGAACAGTCAGATGTCAGTTTATCTGGAAAGAAACAATGCAGTTATTAATAAGAGTTGAAATTAATGTATGCAAGATTTCTCAGCTCTAGCATTACTTTTTCATAGTCAGCCTATGAACTTTTCCGCCCAACCTCGTAACTCTCCTATTTTCTTGTTACATTTGTTTATTCTTTTAATTTTAATTAATGGATGAATTAAATTTGAATGAAATATATTAATTGAAAAATTGCTGTGTGTGTGTGTCACGCTTTTTTAATTAAAGGGACACAACTCTCTAACTTTTAAATATCTTCTTCAAATGAGAGTTGTTCATCTATGATTAGAATTGAATCCTCAGATCGCAAATTTAAATCTCTGTGAAATTGAAGACAAAGTGATGAACTTGGCTCAAAGAGATCTCAGCAATTTTGGTCTGCCAAATTGAGGTGAATAAAGAAAACAGCAACCAGCGAATAAATTCAAGCTCTCCCAGCTGGTATTTCAACCTTGAGTCATTCCTTCTTGAGTTCTTATCTCAAAATCACACTAACAACTGTTCTTGCCACCAACCGTGAACGTCATATAGAAGAACTGCCCCACTGGGAAAAAAAAGTTGCTTTTATATTTGTCCATATACCCATAATCCCTTGTGTCTTCATGTGATCCCATAATTCATTATGTTCCATGTCCCATAATGCATTGCATCTTTATTAAATAAAAATGCAAATGCAAAAATCCCCCTCATTCTTTTTTAATTATCTGGCCGAGGATGGATTACGGCAGAGTTTCAAATAAGTGCTTTTTTTCCCTCATTTCAACTGCAGTAGCTTTACATGCTAAGCAAATACGGGCTCTTTTTTGGCGGGGACAAGGCAAGTCACGACCAGTTGTGCTTGTCCCAGGTTCTGTCTCATATCCGCCACACAAATCCAAACAGAGAAACTGGACAAATCAACAGAGAAATTTTGAGAAAAACAGAACACAACATGGAAGATGTTTCTGTGTTCAAAACAATAAGCCCAGTTGAACCCTAACCAAAAGTAAGTCTATCAGAAGGTTCTTGATGACATTAGCAACAACAATGCAAGAATTTTCTTCTTGGATGCACTTGGAGGTTCTGGTAAAACTTTTGCAACTAACCTTCTGTTACACTGTTGCAATTAGATCTCATTTTGATTCATTCTGCATGCTGGCCAGATGTGAACACCACAAAAGCAGAAAGCAAAATAACAAAAGTCGTTTTCTGTGCATTAGGCTCCACACACCACGTTTGGTCTACAAAGTGAGCACTGGTGGGGGTCAATCGTGAATATTCCCACCAGTATAAGAGACACCCCTGGGGACCATCAGACCCGCTTAAAAGCAGGCTCAGAGGATGCCCAGGACACAGTTGCAGGCTGGAGTGGCCAACTGCTGTCACACAGGGAGCTGCTGCTGACATGACCCCATCACCATGACAACAGAATTGCGGACCAGCCATCACACAGAATACTACTACTGCCACCGTCGCCACTGCCACTCAATATGACTACATATCTCAACCTCGACTCCACCCACCAGCAGAGCTATCTAGCTTCAACTTGAAACAGCTCAACCTTGATTCCTCCCAGCTTATAAGCCATCAATACCAATACTCGCTATCACCTTGGCCTACCTTGACTCGTTTACAAGGCATTCCATTCACAGTGATATCTGCTTCACTGAACAGATCTACCTTGAATTGTTTACAAGGCATTCATTCCCTTCACAGTCAACACAGTGACCTCCATTCCACAGAACAGGTTTCCCAACACCTTGGCCTATGACTCATTTACAAGGCATTCCTTTTGCAGTTGACCCCAGCTAAATCCATTCCACAGAACAGGTCTACCTCGACTAATTTTCAAAGCATTCCCTTCACAGTCGACACTAGTTTCCTCCATTCCACAGAACAGGGTTACCAAAAGCACACCAATCCGATGTCACCCCGTTTCAACACAACAGGCTGACCAACCAATAAGATGACCTACAACCATGATCTCCACCAACCAAACATGCACCAACCATATCCTGTGACCTTGGCCATGCCGGTACAAGAAATGATTTAACTCCCGAAACTATGTGTACACCTGATCACTATTCCTGTACTCTCTACCAATATTAAACGTTGTTTCACTCTAATCCTCGTTATTCCTTTCTCTTGTTACGCTTAATATAACACTTCTTTTATCTGCAGTGAAACTCCAAAGAAGGGTAGCTCTAGCAGCAGACATCATCTAGAAATTGCTATAAGAAAAGTTCTTTGCCTGGATGTTGTACAGAACACAGCACCTTTTAAAACGTCCACTTTATTTTTTAGTCCTAAATGAAACCCCCACGTTTGTAAGATCAAAAGAGGAACCAACTTGAATAAGCTTAAAAAGAGACAAAGTTTCATTGTCTGGGATGAATGTTAAATATGGCACACAAGCGAACATTTGAGGTTCTGAACAAAAATAAAGACATTAGACAGAATTCACAAATTGGGAAGTATCACTGTGCTACTCTCTGGTGATTTTAGACAAATATTATATTACCAGCTAGCAGCATGGCCCGGGTGTTGCCCGTGCTTGATTCAAAACTTGTAATGACTCATACAGCAATTGCTATCACTTGACTTAAAATATTTTTGCCCTTCCTTGCCTTTTAAAAGGAGTGCCCTTTGCTGTGCTGATGTTGCTACATGCCTTACTTCTTGCCTATCTCACACTGCAAATTTTTTCTAAGCTCTATACTAAACATTAAATCTGTTACTTCAAAAGAACTAAACAAAATGAACACAAAACGATCAGCTTTAAAAAGGACTTGTAACTGGAAAAAATGAATGAAAAAAAGAATGTTAACAACAAATACTTTTTCACACCCAACCCAGTTCTGCGGAATCAGAATCAACGTTGAGTTTAAGCAAGCGAATGAGCCAATTGGAGTAAAGTGGCATGCAGATTTAAATTTTTCCCACTTGTGACGAATACAGCTATCGTTTTTTTTGCATGCTAGCATGCTAGTTAACACTCGTGTCAATCAGCTGTTGGCTCTCACGCTGGCCAATAGAATCTTCTGCCTATTCATGGCAGCAGGCTATTGGCTCTTACTCTGGCCAGTACAAAATGGCCGCAAACTACATGAAAACTGCTGTAGAAGCATGAAAAAATCGATTATTTCCACTATCGATGGGAGTTGGGAAATGCAAGGTTGGTCTTGGCTTTCCCGCTAACTTGGAGCATGTGCATGTAAATTTTGGTGCAAATCCGTCGAAAATTGCAGTCGTGCATTCGTTACATACACACATCCTGCCTGAAAAATTCTTACATTTAGAGATATGTTCAAAGACTCAGCCTGAAAACAAACATGAGAGTTAGAATTACAGTTGACCTTGAAGCAGGAAGATTTGCTGCTTTGCTGTTGCAACTTGACAACAGAACCATCCAAATGGAGATATTTCACTCCCAAATGGTTGTGGGGTTTCAGTATCCAAGACTTGATTAAACATGTTTATCCAAACATTAAACACCATTTCATGGATTCAAACTGGCTTTGTGAGAGAGGGCCATATTAGCTTTCAAGAATCAAACTGTGGATAGCATCAACTGGAAATTTCTCCAAGAAATTCCAAAGTAAAGCATGAATACTTTTCCATTGACACTGGTTGAACAAGAGCAGGTAGTGAATTATCCAACAGAGTTCCTGAACTCATTGAATCCTCCTGGAATGCCATCATACAAGTTG